TGTCTGTCTGTATGTCTGTATGTATGTCTGTATGTCTGTATGTCTGTATGTCTGTATGTCTGTATGTATGTACGTATGTATGTATGTGTCTGTATGTCTGTATGTCTGTATGTATGTACGTATGTATGCATGTATATGTGTATGTGTATGTGTATGTGTATATATATATATATAATCTATATGCGTATCACTTGCGTGATATCATCTCTACAGTAAATCACAGGGCTATCTGTCTAGAGTATTGGTCATGATGGCTCTTGAGTGAGCCCTTTACAAAGATTGGCGTCACTAAGTGGGAACACAACAGCAACAACGCTTTCGGTTCACCAGGCTCGAGGCTCAGCTGCTGGGTACAAGAGCATCAAAAAACTCTCTGATTTTTGGAGGTCCGATTTCAGCCACTTGGTCGACTGCGTGGATTGGGTCAAACTTTAAAGCAGAATCCGTTTGGCTATTTTCGTCAAAACCCTGGCAGCCTAGCTACCCTAAAACAGCTGGTGTTTATTCCCCAAAATATGGTAATAATAGGTTTTGACCTATCACGCAGTCACCACTTCGGTGCTCAGCACTTGAGCCACGGAGAAGGGCGCAGACCAGGAGCCTCGGCCACCAAGTTACACGCGGGGCGGAAGAAATCACTGGATATTCATAGGATAATGGATAGGAAAATTACATTATTATGAATATGATTGGAAATATGCATACAATAATGGAGAATAATCACTGGACATATCACATTATATGAATATGCATACATTATATGATTAGACACTAGACATATCACATCAATATTTCCATGGCTTATTTTCCATTTGGATGATCCTCCTTTTCCACTATGAATATTTCATGAGTTGATGGTAATGGATGATTATTAATAATGGATCATCATGAGATGAATAATGTTATCCATTACCACTCTTATCCCAAAAAAATATCCATTATTAATATCCATTAAACTAATGAATTATGTATTCAATGAATCAATATCACTGGACGTTCAATGGGATATGGGAATGGGAGATTTAATGGGATAAATCTGGTAGATTTTGGTAGGTGGTTTCACGAGGGGTACCAAACAATCATGGGAATTCATGGGAAAACAAAGGGATATGAATAGAGCTTCAATGGGATGAATGGAAGATACCCCATTAGCATAATATGGGCTAGTAATTAACAATGATGTGCTGATTAACAATGACTAGTGCTCATTATCAATGATTTGTGCTAATTATATATATATATGGTTTGTTAGTTATCACTAGTTAAGTCGGATAGTGTGAATAAAAATGGATTATGTGGGAATGCTAATTGTTCCCCATAGTATCCCACATGTTTAAAACGCATTAACCTAATTCTGGGGAATACCCTATGGCAATGAAACATGGCAACGGAAAATCTGATATACATGGTGTAATGAAATGTGTAATTCACTATTGTAAGGTTACTTGTTGCTTATATAATATTCGACCCAGAATTATCCCATATAATATGCCATATCATGATAAGGATACCCTATGGTAATCTAAATAGCTTTGCAAAATGGTTCATAAATAGTGATTTATAGATGAATTCCCTATTGTATAAAGATTGATATTTTCTATAGCGATGTTAAATTACCAGATGGTAATTGTTGTTCATTAGTGTTAATAATATGAAACTAGATATATATATATATACATATGAAAATACTATATGAAAATACTACATGAAAATATTGTGTAAAAATACTATGAGGGAATTAAGAATTCGTTATGTTTACATGATTATTCTATATATATACTGTTAATTGTTTGCCAGTACAATGCATGTTAACCCTTAATTCTCCCATACACCATATCATCTCATATATTGTCCCATATTCCCATGTATCATCCCATGTTATGATAATCATTGTTAAGTATGCTTAAGAATATGGGAAAATACGGAAATAACATGATAATAGTTAACCATGATAATTAAGCAAGTACTGTAATGGTTGATTATATAGTAATAATACGATGGCATAATATATGGGATAATATGTTGTCAATGATGTTGGATATGATATGGGGATTAACAATTGGTAACATCTAAGTATTTTATATAATATTTAATATATTTATAATATATAATTATTCATGTAACTGCTGTTGCTATAATTGTTAATTATTGTTAATCACTATATTTTTTAATCCCTCCTAGTAACTTGTTATAATGATACTAGCCTGGGGGTTAACGGTATAGTGGTTAATTTAACAGGTAATTATAGCAATATTCACATTCTTCACATATTGTAGTATCATTGTCGTTGGTATGATAACCCTTTCATGAATGAATACAGTAATAACAAATTAGGGGTGTTGGTAATAGTGAAGTAAATCTCAGCAAACTTTTGGTAAATGTTGATTGTTAACTTTGTAATCAAGGTAATATTTATAAACATGATAATAATAATGATACTTTTCGTGGTGATAGTGATGATAGTGACAAAAATATGTTGGATGTATTTATTTGTTTGGTTTATATAACTTCTTGGTTGACAATGTTGACAATATTGGATTGGCAAATGAGGGGGGCTTTTGTTGGGATTTACGCAAAAGCATTGGGATTTTTGGTGCTGGGTCAAAATGCTGTGGGTATTTCGATGCGTTTTGTTTGATATGAGGGATGTACCATGATAACAATATTGGGACTGGTGGGATTGTATTGGGATGAGGGGACGTGGTACTTTCAATGGGATTTCTATGGGGATTCCAAGCGAGCTTTTGGATGAGCAATGACACATAAGATACTCAATCAAACAAGCAAATTTGGATGCATCACATTTTCCAGGAGTTTCGGGAAAAAATATGGGATTCATATTGGGATCAAGACATTCGAAAGTGGGGGAGACTGTCTGGTAAAATTATCCTGAGAAATCTGGGCTGTATCATAGTGGGAGGTTACCCATGGTGGTTTTTGGTGATCAACCATCAACAGTTTTTCTCGAGGCCTTAGCGATTGCAACATTGAGGGATTGACCAACCAAAATGAGTATATAAAAGCTACAAACATGATACTTGTATTGGTGTATATGTACTAATCTGGGTAAATTATAATATTTCACTAACCTGAATTAAGGCCATTTGGGGATGATTTCCCTTACTAACCATGATTCCAGTGAGGTCGCAGTGAGGTCGTTATAATTTGCCCAGACTAATGACAATGAAAGGATCTATCTTAAACACAATGTCATAAACATCATCACTGGCTGGGGTTGTTTATTTTCTCATAATATTAGGGGTCACCAATAACAGTGGGAGGCTGCTCATTGTGATTTTGGCCGTCTTGATTTCCGGCATTTTTGTGGCCAAAAACAACATTTACCCGATACTTTCTCGAATTTTTCCTTCGTTGAGGATAGACACGGCATTTTCTTCAGTCATGTCTCCACTATTGGCCAGTTCCTTTGCTTGATATTTTTTGTGATTCATGGGTGAATTCCCCGTTACCAGTTGTTCAGCTGTTGCTCGATTCCCGGCGATTCCCGGCTGCCCAGGCACTCGCTTGGCAGCGAGGGCGCAAGGTCAAGACCTGTCAAAGGTGATCCCCATGGCGCCATGGCTGAAATAGGCCATTTTCCCCATGTTTAGAGGGGAATCATATCAACCATCTGTTGTTTTTAATGTCTGAAAAATGGATTACGATCTAAATACAGTACATAATCATATTCATGAATCAAGGTTTGTTATGATCTGATCAGATCAAAGCTACCAATATTAGAAGTTTTGGGGCAACTAATGCCTTATCACCCTGTTTTGATAATTAAGTGGTAGCCTCCGGTAAAACAGCAGCTCACACCTATCTTCATCATCCTAATGTGACGAAGCCATCAAGAAACCTTCCGAAACTTTACCATCTGGGAGTTTTATCAACTCAGGGATGGTTTTTACCCATGGGAAGGCTTCATCAACTGGATTACAAACACATCCAGCCCTAGATCTCTCCAAAAAAAAACCATCCACCCTACTGAGCCATGGCTGCAGCCCTGGTGCCAAGTGTATTAGTCACGTTTTGCAAACAAGACATCTTGGCAAGTTGGGGTTCCGTGGGGTTCTTTGGTTCTACTTCCTCTGGACCACCAGTATCACTGAACAACCAGATGACTGCCGCAATATACTGTCAACCGCTAATCATCAAGCAATTAAAAGTCCAGAAAAACCAGGAGTTCAACTCAATTTGTACCTTGTTGCCTATATGTAGCTATTGTAGTTGTTGATATTCCCACAGTAGTGGGTGCCGGTCCCATTTGTTTGTTTCTCTCAGTCTTGTTGATGAAAGTGTTGGCCAAGGTTGGTATCAAAATGAATTAACTGGGGGTATCCAATTTGCTCCCACAATACATTGTTGGAGGATAAAAGCTTTATCCCCAATTTCTGTTGATTGACCCATATCCATATGCCCAGTATGCGGTTGTAGTACTCCTTCCACAACCAGCTGGCCTTTGCGCTGGTCTCTTCCTCCACTGACCCCACTGACCTTTGTGGATGGAAACACTGGAAATTGGTGAGTGACGGAGGGTCTGGGAACCAGGCAAGAACAGTAGAAACAATCATTGGAACACCGATTTCAGGACCCTCAATGCATCTTTGCATGTAGGCATGGAGCCAGAAAATACATACTTCAGGGGTGTACTCCGACGGTCTTGCGGGTCATCGACAACCAATTTCGCTTCACAGTGGCTGTCGGCATCGACGCGCCTGCTCTCCGAGTGCAACCCAATGAGTCGTGCAAGCTGATGCACCACCTGGGACAGGCGCCATAGATCCAACAGAAGCTGTCTCTTGACCAACAAAGATGGTGATTTTCGCTAATTTCAATAGGTGGAAGTTGATTTATACAATAAAATTGCTGATGTTAACTGACTTTAATGGTGCGACATGGTGCGTATTTCCAGCGAAAATTGCAATTTAAGCCACGACCGATGGGGGTCAGTGCTTTGTCACCATGCTTGTAAAACACTTCTGATCCCAGATAGATAGGAGACTTGTTCTAGCACTGAATGACGAATCCAAAAAGGTACTGGGTGCGAACCTTCGGTGACCACGGACAGAAACAATATGAGGAATAGAAAAAGGCCTAGATATGTGGCACTATTGCAGTATCTACCCAGCAAGGAATCTTTGGATGAGGATGTCAGGTCATGCTACTCTCAGAGGCAACCAATCAATGTCCATTGTCCATTCCCCCACCATGAGCCAACAAGCAGTAGCATGTTGGGTACCCCACAACATCACCTTTAAAAAAATTGATCTGAAGGCTTCATATGATGAAAATGCTAGTGACGGCAAAACACACTAAAATCATGGACATTGCATTTTTCAAACAAAATGGGAACATATCAGCGTTGCAACAGGACTGATCGGGCAAGCTTCCATCGCAACATCTGCCAGCTTACACCCCCGTCTTAGCTGGTTGAATTTCTATTTTAGGGCGGCTGAAGTCCCCATGTTTCATGCTTAAGTCACTTAAGTCCCAATACTCGTGATGAAATGCCAAGTTCAATGAGCACATTCCCCCTGAGTGCTGCTCAATCCCTATATTTTCACGGACAAATCCAATGTTTTATGCTTAAATCGCTATTTTTCATGGTTAGATTCCCATATCTTCACCATTTTGATCATGATTTTCATGGAGAAATCACCATGTTTCACCATGATTTGATGCTGAAAAAGCGGTCAACTCCCAGCATTGACACCGCACCTTGCGCTCCGATGGGTCCAGGCCCTCTAGCTGCATCTCAGAAGCAGGTGGGGCACCGGCCTGCCGTGGTTCGAAACTCGGGAGATCAGAAGGATGGGAGTCCAACCATTGGGTTGAAATGGTTGATATATTAACGATGTAGCTGTTTTTTGTCCATTCATCATAGGTTATGTACCATGTTATGATTTGGGTTATTCCCATCATCCTATCGTTTTTTGTTTTTTGTTGGGTCATGATGTGATGGCGGTGATGGTTAGTTATATGAATCCTCCATTTTTGCTGCTTGGATCCCAAGATCAAAATTCCCAAATAGCCCGATTAGAGAAAACACGTTCGTGTTAGATGTGTTCAATGTTAAAAACAACCTGAAAATTGACATGCTTAAGAATCCCCATGTTACATGCCATTTTTGTGCCGATTGGTTTTCAACCAAATTTCACATGCTAAAATCACCGCTTCCTCAAGTACAAATCCTGAATTTGGATCGTTGGAGCTCGAGCCTTTTGCTAGAACCATTGTTTTAAATAGACGTGTTGGGTCAAAAGAGGCTACAGCATATATCCAAATCTCAATATCGCTTCATACAAAACCCAAATCTATAAGCCTTGGCGGAGTGAAACTATGATTTCAGCCTCATACCAGCAGATAAATTTATTCCCAACTATACCAATTGTTTATTGTTCATCCCCCAGAAAGAGCGCATTGTAATCACATCATTTTATAATTCAAAATGCGGTTCATCGCCGCATTGCCCAAGTTCTGAACGCTGGAATAAACCCTCTGGTGTCATCAAACATGGCTTGGAAAATCCTCAGTTCGATGATGTTCCCAGCTATATATACCCTCTGGTAATTTAACATAGCTATTGAAAATGGCCATAGAAATAGTGTATTTTCCCATAAAAAATGGTGATTTTCCATAGTTATGGGACAGTTTACCAGAGGGTAGACCTCCAATCGTAGGCGATGAACGATCTCTGGGATGCACCTTGGTCGCCAACTCTTCGCCAGTCCACAGCAACTGCCTGGATGTGGCTAGCGCTGGGGTGATGTGGACTTGACTCAGTCTACTTGGGTGTGTCTGAAAATAGTGTACCCCTAAACCCAATGGTTAATGATCATTATCCCTATTAAATGGCTATAATTGGGAATATACCCTATTTTCAGACAAACCCACTTAGTCAAAATGTGACTCTATCTGACATATGTTCTGATATTCTATCTGATGGCACTTGAGACATTCTATCTGACACATTTTCTGACGGTCTACCTGACATTCTAGCTGACATATGTTTTGACAGTCCATCTATATGACCCTGTATCTGACATTCTAACTGACTTATATTATGCCATTTCATCCGGCATTCTACCTGACATTTATTTTGAGATATATTCTCACGTTCTATCTCACTATGCATCTGGCATTTTATCTCACTGTTTTTTCTGAAGTCTGTTCCATCTGACAATCTATCTAGCATTCTATCTGACATATTCTGACATTCTGTCGGACAATCTATCTGCCATTTTATCTGACATGTATTTATTCTAACATATATTCCCACAGTTCATCTGACCAATCTGACAGTCTATCTGACATTCCGACATTTTATGTAGCAACATGTAGCATTCTGACATTTTATGTGGAGTGTTCGGGTCCACCAAGGCCTAGAGAGTCGAGCAGTGGATGTCAGGCAACTGGTACCAACCATGTATTGTTCGCCTTCGCCTTCGTTTCCCAGAGTCATTATGACTTACAACCGTCAACAAAAAGGGGAATCCGAAAACGTCCAACAGATTTACGTAGATGGCCTCTCAGAAATTGTACTCTGCAGAACCCCATTTATGACAAACTAATGACCCATCAACCTACCCTCCACTACTTGGTCTTCGAAAAGTTTCCCGCGTCCGGCCGGTTATCAAATTATAAGCTACTTCTATACATTTATACATATATATATATATATACATACATATATATATATATATATACATAATATATATATACATATAATATATATATATATACATATATATATACAGTATATACACACAGAAGTTTCACTGCCTAATCTTCGTCTTTGGAAGATTCACATCCCAACCACTATTTCCATTCCATGTTTGTTGAATCCCAGTTTGCCTTCAATCCGCATCTTATTCTACCCCTCACCAGCTGGTTTCCTCAGTCATATTGAGTCATATGTGCTTTTTTCCGATAAGTGGACGTTTAGACACATAATTAATCCACCTACCATTCACCAAGGACTACCATGATGCGACATGATGCGACTGTGGCAACCATAAGCTTGTTGGGGGGGTATCCACCACCTTTCTTTGTCGCTAAGCCAATGAGCCAATGTTGCTCTCTTTAAAGCCACCAGTACCCGTTTCTGAGAAGCTCACCACAGCATGTCCTGGCGCAGTCTCTTCCAGTCACAGGTGGATACTCCATTTCTGGCCCCATGACCCAATGCCTAGGGCCTAAGTCACATCAAAGATTTTGCCGGTTTTTACCTCCATTTTTCATGAATCCCTAGACCCATCCAGTCGACCCAGATGAAGTCATCCAAGCGCTTTATCCTGGGATACAACTTGCATAGCAAAATCCATTGTTTTTGAGGGATCCCACTTTTTAGAGACAAGGTCTGAGTTTTCATCACGAATTGGATTCGGATTGGTCCTTCATCAGCATTGAAACAGGTAGTATAACCATGTATACTGTATAACCCTACTTGTGCTTTCAATCCCCGTGTCTGTTGGTGAATCTTCCCATGTTTGGTGCTTAAATAATCATCATTTTTCATGAGCCATACTTGGCAGTTCGCCCCAGTTGGTTTTGTTTGGTGTAAAACCATAATTGTTGAAGGCTAAATCACCATACCTCTGATGCTTTCCCCAGTTCTCTTTGGGGGGTCCATGCGAGGTTGACCCAGATAATTACCCTTAGCGCCTGACTTCCCATTTTTCTTGGCTAAATCAGAATTTGTGCTCGTTTAATTCCCAATTTTTGCTGGTTAAACCCTTTTTTTTCCTGGTTGAATGTTTGTTGATTTCCATCATGGAAAATCTCCCGAGCACGCCCAGCCTGCAACTGGCTCTCCGGGGTGCCAAAGGCGTCCTGTGCCAGCTGTTCCAGCTTAGCAATCAGTTCCTGGCCGGAAATGTCTGCGATTCATGGTGAAAATTGAGAAAATCGACCCATGAAAAATGGAGAAAACTTACCCACCAAAAAAGAATTTGACATATTTGACGAACAAAACAATCCAAGAAATGTCTATTTTTGAATAGCCACAAAACAAATGCAACCCATGGGCGTTGAAGCAGGAAAAACTGTTCAGCCACCAACTCCCAGGGCTCATCTTTGACCTCGATTTTTCACTGGTTGATAGTAACCTATCCCAGCAATGAGGGGGGTTGACGTTACCCCTTTTTTTAAATTTAAGGATTATGACTGTCATGGGAAAATGTGACCATCCCATGAATGCATAGGACCGCAGGAATGGGGTCCTGCAAAGTAGTGGTCTCTAAAAATGCCATAGCCCCATGTCATCATTTAAGATGGGCCGGTCATGTTCTTGAAGCCGAAGAACAACCGCATTCTTGCCGGGTACCCCGCTTGTGTTGAATCAAATGTCCTCAAAACCGTTGCCCAAATTACCCTGCAATAATGGTAGAGTAGTTGAGTGGACCCAATACTTACACTTGATTTCCAATATGGCTGTAACATGCTGTAACCAGCCTGACATGACTGGGTGGTTGCTAGTTGCAAAAAATAATGCATGGTGTACAAGTATCGCTATCACAATCAAAGTTGTGCGATTCAAAGAACCACACAAGAGAGAGGTTTCTGAAAAAAATCGAGCTTCAAAGCAGGGATAGTCTTCAGAAACACAGCTGAGATGATCCAACGATAGGATCCTTGGATCAGTCGACACTGCACTAATCCCAACAAACAGTAGCTGTGAGGCTCCATGGAGCCATAGAAAAACCATGTTCTCGCCACTTCACTTAGATCATCCACAGCTAAATGTTGCAGTGATATGATCATTGCATAACAGCCAAAACGAAAACTTTTAGCTGAGCATTGGATTCTCAATCTGTTGGCAAATGTCAAGCCAGTAGATTCACCAAGCCTGACCCAACAAGATTCAAACTATGGCTTGTTTACTTTGGAAAGCATTTAAAAAACTGGGTGAATCTATAAATGACCATAATGTCCCAAAATCCAAAATCTATGGACCAAAACCACTTCAACACCAGTCACCCAGGCCTGCGAAGACTGACTCTGCGAGAGATATTGCCAGTTCTCACGGAAGGTCCTGCGCACCTCAGTCCAGATGGGACCCCAGCGGGAATTTTACCAGCCAAGATGGTGAAAAATAGGGATTTAACATGATTTAACCATCAAAAAGGAGGGAAACTTGGGATTTTTGTCAGCACGTCACCCAGCCGACATTTTGCCATCCATCATTTTGAGGAGATTGCACTGAGGAATTCAGCATCTATATTGGACGTTTGCTGAACTATCACAACTTGGAATGGGGATTTAACCATAAAAACGGGAAATTAAACAAGGAAGAATTTGAATTTAATGGATTCTTGGCCGAATTGTCATAATTCACCAACCACAAAAGTTCGGGTGATTCTCAAATTTACTGTCAGATTGTGATGAGGCTGTTTTCATTTACTCAGACCTATAATGTATGTATATCTAGGAATAGTCCATGTATAACAGGGTTATAAGATGGGTACGAATCCATTACTAACTGCGGATTCACATCTCAGTAGGATGCATCAGCCCTCGCTACCATGATGTATATTCCATAATTTCCATCCGTATCTATGTTACTTCACTGGAGGGTCTCTTCGTTTATGTTCCTTTACGCGTTGTCGGCCTCTGACATTAAAGATCACAGCTCAGCTGCACTAGTCTTTGGTACGCGAGTCTTGAAAACATCACTGTGCCTGTGCATTGAGTCATGTTACGTTAAGTCCATTTTATTTCGGTGAATCCCGGATCTCAGTCTGTTGATTGACACCCCCATTCCAAATGTTGACATGTCCATTCTTGCGGGTCAAACTCCCATTCTGATCAATTCTGGTTGGCTATCTATGTATATACATAACTATATAATATGTGCATATTCATATATATATATATAGATATAACTATACTATATATTAATATACATGTCATTACGTGTCCATATCAAGTTCTATCCCAAAAAAGTTACGGACCTCTTGAGACCTCCGGACCAAAACACTTCACCATCTTTTCGGCCTGTCTGGTACGTTCCTCCGCCATTCTTGGCGCAGCGTCCTGGATTTACCGTTTTGCGGTGATTGAAAGGTCAAACAACTGAAGTTTCAATGGAAAATCCATGAAAATCCCCGAACTAAATGGAGGTTTATAGCTGGGACAATCAAGTAATGGGAGATGTTCCATTGCCATATTTGATTACCGGAGTGAAACCAGAACCATGAAGAAGAAGGAGTTCACCAACCTGGCATCAAGGGGACGCTCAATGGAAAGTCGGAGACCCCATCCAACGACCTGTAACAAGGGCTGGCTTGGTATTCGCACGATATGATTAATATGATGCAGCGACCTGTTTACATCATGGGATATCATGGGGTTCCACCCCATTTTGCCATAGTCTTCCGACTCTTGGATGGTTTCGACCCCATTTTGATGGTGAAATGCCCATCTGTTGCTCAAATCTCTTTTCATTGTACGGTGAACCCCGCCATTTCCGCTGGTAATGGTGCTTCAACCGCTATTTTGTTTGAGCTCAAAACCCAATTTTGTTCTGGTAAAATCGACCTTTGCTCATTCTTCAACCATGCTCAATCCCCAATTCTCGTTGGTTAAAATCCAATTTGGGGCTGGGGATATCTTTTTTTTCTGGTAAACTCCAAATGTTTGATTGCTTCAATCCAGCTTTGGGCTGCTTAAATCTCAAGTTTTTGCTTGTGAAAACCCCGTCACATCACCATTTGTGATAGTCAAAATAAAAAAACAACAGACACATTTTGGATCGCCAAAATCCAAAACAAAAATCACCACTTTGGACAGTCAAAAATTCCAACAAAATCATCACCATTTTGGATGTGGGTAAAACAACCATAATCAACATTAATCAACCATCCCCCAGTCATCACCATCCATCCCTCCCCCGGCTTTTCGCCTTCGCCCGGGCGCGCGGCTCCCTGGAGCGGCCGCGGCGTGCCTCGGCCGCAGCCCAGGCCTCGAGGGCGTTGGCGCCTGAGCCGGATTCCATGGCTTTTTTTCCAACAAAAATCGGGGATTAAACCATCCCATAGTGTTTTTTCCATCCACTTAATCCACTTGTTAATATTGGAAGCTGTCTCTATAGTTGGTCCATTAAACCATCAAAAATTGTGATTTCTATGGAATTCCGATCCAATCGCAGCAAGAAAAATGGGGATTAAACCATCAAGAAATGATGGAACATTGGGATTGAGTCATGAAAAATAGCGAGTGAACCATCGAAAATGGTGATTTAACCACTGAAAAATGGTGGAATTAACCCGTGAAAATGGTGGATTTAGTGGAATTAACCAGCAGAAATGAGGAAAAATTAGGATTTAGTGAAGTCAACCAACAAAAAGTTGAGATTGAAGCAACTGAAATTGCAGAAATGTGGGATAATGTGGGGTTTAAACATGAAAATGTGGCTTTGACCAGTGAAACTTGGGGCTGATGGAGGGGTTTGGCTTCACAACCGGATCGGAGCACGAACAAAATGGATTATGAGCAACAAAAAATGGGGAAAGATGATTGACAAGTTGACAGAAGCAGAAAATGTTGAGACCAAGTGGTCAACCACAAAGGCTTAGTAAGCGCCTCAACTGGAAACTTCATCATGGCGCTTACTAACCAGTTGCCATTCCTGCCATCTTTGTGTTGGATGGTGACCTTGCATGGAAAGTCAGAATCTCTTGCAATACATCATCACCCCTCGGTCATACGTGGTATCACTACTTGTTGGGCCCCCTAAGTTGGGGTCCAAATGGTTTTGTCCCAAAATGATCCAAAATGTGGCATCTTCAATAGCCACGTTGTGGCCTTGTGGTACAGTCAGTACGCCCAATTGTTTGGGGACTCATCCAACTTTTAACCCCTGCCGCGGCCTTCGCTTTCAAGCAGGCGATAGAAGACAGAGGGGCGCGCCTGGGGCCTTTCCTGAGGCGACTCCCAGGTCCCAGCTGGAATGTGTTTCCTTTTTTCGTGGGGGGGACCCCCAAATCATCCAGCCATTAAACTATTAAACCAATCTAAACCATAATTTAGTACTGAAACCCACGGTGACTCGGGGATCCCCTATGACTTCAGAAACCCGAACAATTGTTAAGTGTGGCCCCCAACCTCTTCCACCTCATCCACGTCTGAGGGTAAATTCTCCTGACAAGCTTTGGATCAAACCCCTGGAATCGACTGGGTATTCACATCCAAAGTGGATTGTAAATGGATGGTCATCACCACATTCATAGGGCATTCTCACCTTCCTGGTAATTTGGATTAACCCCTTGCTGCAAGGGGAACGAATTCTGGTGAATGCTTCAGGAAATCCACCGTTGAAAAGTGCTGGGCTCAGCATGGCTGGAGGGGTGGAACCCAATGGTCCACCAATCTGTGGACAGAATCTTCAGAAACCCCAGTGATTCGTTTCATGGTTGTATCCCATCATTCTAGTTTAGACATATAGCCATCTGGGAGTGTCGAAATCAGTTGTGGAGCCAAGACCGTTTGAAGCATCATCTTGAATTTGAAATTCGGGGAATTTCCCAATATTTTTCATCGGTTCAGTCACACTCTTAAGCCCCTGGAGACTAACATGAGAGCTAAAGCTGCCATGTCCAAAATCACGCTTTGTTCTATAGTTTTCAGGTGAGTAAAGTTCCATCTGCTGTCTCTTCATCTGGGTTTGTCCAAAAATAGCGTATCCTTCTTACTACCACTGGTGAAAAACAATCCTTTTCCAGCTCAAAGTTGCCGTGACCTGGAGGGTACACCCCATGATCAGAGACAACCAAATATGAAATCCAGTTGATGATATGTCCCATATATCCTAATATATATCCCCATTAATGTATCATTTAATCCCAAGTTTTAGTCATTGAATCCCCATTGTTTATTGTTAAATCCCATGAATTCCTCCATTGTCGATGGATGTTGATGGTTAGATCCCAACACGTTTGATGGTTGAATCGCTGGCTATTTGACAGTTCATTCCCAAGGTTCCATCATTTTTCATGCTTTAGTCCTCATTGTTCTTACTTAAATCCCACTAATCATTGGCACGGCCCCCCATCCAACCACCGGGTTGAAACCGATTCTTTCGCCTCACCACGTGAAACCATGACTCGTCTCAAGCTGTTCACCTGGCAAGCCTGGAAGCCTTGGCCTTGGAAGCCTGTGGATTTTAGGCCTTGGGAACAATGGGTGTACCACCTCTATATACGTATATATGTTGTGTGTATATATATATATACGGTAAATCATGTGTGTATGTATCGATGTATGGATGTGTATCACCTATATACAATGGGTATTGTTTACCTGTAGTGAATGTGTGTGTGTATGGACGCGTATGTTTCTGGATGTTTCTGGATGTTTCTGGATATATATATATATATAGCTGTGGATCAAAACCCTGGTACCGGCCTGTTTTCACATCAAAATAAGTTGGATAGCTGGATGGTCATCCTCCGATTTACTCCTATAGAGTAGCATCCCCAAAAGCGACAAAAGTAGCGATGTAAACAACAATGATCCTGATATAGTAAGTCCTTTGTAAGCATTGGTGCAAACCAGCTACTTACTGTAGTGGTTGTTTCTACTGTAGATAGAATTTGACAGGAGATGACAAGCAGAGACAAATAATTCGTGTCTATTGGAACTTGTGAACCAACACCCTCTTGTCACGGATTAACATCCTTTTTAAAACAAATGATTAAAACATGGTAAAACCCAATGTCGTGCTACTTAAGGCATGATGTTCGAAGCTTAAACCCTCATTTTTCATGGTGTTAAATCAAAGCATGTTTGATGTTTCAATCCCAATCCTTCATGCGTTTTTAATGTTCTCTTGAATCCCACGTTTGATGTCCATCATTCCAGATCATTTCAGCACATGACACTATTACACCTTGGTTTTTTGGACTCCCAAATCATGGCCAAAACCAAAAAAATCTCCGGCCGCGCCAAGTCCACGGAATGGGTGTAGCGGCGATGCTTACGGCTACCGGGGCGGCCTACGCCGATGTTACGGAAGATGTGGTGGATTTTATGGGATGTGAAGTTCCACTTCGGGATTCTGAAATGACCATTGAATGACCATTGAATGGGAAATTCCACAATCAATCATGAACAGATGGGGATTTGATGGGGATTTTGAAATTAACCCTCAAGAATGGTGGTAGAATTAGAATGGCCTATTTTACTGAAGTATGCTATATGATGGTGATTTGATGCATGTATAATCTAGTATGTTTTAACCATCAAAATTGTGGCTTGAACATCGAAAAGGTTTGGTTGGATCATGAAGGGGACATTCCTTGTCTCCAACAACATGAGTGAACCTTGGATTCAAAAGAAACGTAGAGGTTGACCACCGACACCATCCGCTCCAGAAAAGTGTGGTTTCCCAGCCAAAATAAGCCATTCACTGGTGGATTCTTGCAGTCCAAGCACGTGACAAGGTCAAAAGTGTGTCAAGTTTTCCAAAGAAAACTCAAAAGTACCAATAGTTTAGCTACCTTCTTGGAATTGGTTGAAGGGTTCCTGGAATTCACTATTTGGCTAACAACATGATTTCCTCTAGATTTCCCTTCAACCCACCCAGGCTCCACGCAAAATCAGAAAGGCACCACGGTAGAGCTATCCCCATACCAGTTTCAGGACCGTGCTGGGGACCCACTAGTTATTCCCCAACTACCCAATCCCAAGTGAAATCACAGCCCAAACACTTTTTGCAGCGCGTCGCCGCTGAAGACGAGGGCAAATCAAAGACACCAACGAGAGTCCGGACAGGGAGGCTCCAAGAGGCTTCCATTTGGGCACCCGATGTTAATCGGAGGCGCAGACGTAGGTCTTCTACAGCTGCGCTGCAAGGTGGTAGACTGATGACCCTGATAGGTCCTGAGAAATCTGCTGTTCCCATGTGTTTTCCCAAATCTCAGGTTGTTATGTTTGTTTGATAGTGAATCCTCACCCGGGTCTGGGTTGGTCGGCCACCTGGCTGTCGAAAGTAAATACCCAGCAATCAGCCAGTTGTGAGTAATGACCTCATGAAATAGATGGGGTACATTGTTATATATATACAGTATATATATATATGTGTACAATTATATACATATATATATATATACATATATATATATATATACATATATATATATACATATATATATACATATATATATACATATATATATCATGTGTGTGTATGCGACAAAGACATGCAACTGAAACCATAGCTACATTGAAACACCACCCATAATCCTCGGTAATCAGTTCATCCCTCGAGTCTTTGGTCATGCTATTCACACAGCAATGGACTTGTGGACTGCTGCATGGCTTGGGGTCCGATGATAAAATGATGTTGCAAGGTTGGCGTTCCATCTTCAATTTCGGCAATTGAACCATAGGTTTTTTAAAATTGGATATCCGCATTTGGTTGGCTGATGGTTTGCTCGCTTAGGAAATACCGTGAAATACCCTATCATCAGCGAATGATGTGGTAAACCCAACAGCGGACTTCCCTTATTTCGCGATGGTTAAAAAAAACCCTCCAAGAGGTCGAATTCGGTGCGCGGGGGTACTCCTCCAATAGTCATAATCTGATTTTTAAATGGTACCCTCCCAATTAAACAGCCCAGGGGGTTATTCATCCAGGGTTGACATTACAGTGTAAAATATGTTTTTTTGTAAATGATATACATATTACATATGCATAATACGTACATATATATATATCTGTGTGTGTGTAAACCATAGTAAATCCACTACCATTCCCCATCTCCAAAAAAAGAAAAGACGCCCCATGTAGGCCCAGCATCCCATTCGGCAGCTTGCTTGGAAGCACATAGCCCAGCCGTTGCCGTGAAGGATCCAAGCCGGCCAAGAGCCGATAGGCGGCTCCCGCCAAGTCCAGGGACCTCGAAGACTCAGAGATGTACTGGGAAAATCCACGGGAAAATAATTAGAATAGATTTCAAACATACCCTCTGGAAATTTAACATAGCTATGGAAAGATCCACCATTTTTAATGGGAAAATCCACTATTTCTATGGACATGTTCAATAGCTATGTTAGTTTACCAGAGGGTAGATTTTTCAAGATTATGATTATGATGGATATCAACGAGCATTGGAGCAGATGGGATGTTTGGAGATACGATGGATATTGACCAACAATGATGGGAGAACGATGGATATGAACCAACAGCACTGGGGATATCAAGCATTACACTCGGGGACAGTTTCGTGTCTTTTCGGCAAAGCTGGCACTGGATTTTTTCCTGGTGAATATCCTGGTAAAGTAGAGAATTTTAGGGGTTGACTTCGGTGACTATTTCAGCACAGGGGATACTTGATCCTGAGACAGGACCCGCCCAAATCATTGCGTCCTCGCCTCATTTCATGACTTGTGCATGGTCTCCATTCGTCTGAGATTGAGCAGCAGCGATAGTGATCTTTCCTCGCATGGCATTCACAGGCATCTTGCCCACCCAGTAGGCTCGTAAGACTCCAGTAGAAGCCTTCCGTCAATAAGCAAGCGTAATCGCAGGTGGTATCTGCATAGTGGTAGAAACCCTGACACGATCCACGGATCCATTGTGGGCCACGAGATGTCATCGCCTGCGAAGCATGAAAGGATCATTGAAATCGCCAGAAAAATATGGGGGTTGACCATCGTGGTGAAAAATCCAACTTGTTGCTAATGAAATCAACATTCAATACTCAATGTCATCCACTCATGCCCCATCATCTCAGAGATGGGAAACGAAATATTCCAAGCTACTAGCCGAAACAGCCCAAAAACCAACTGGTTCTGTCCAAAAACTGCGTCCCCGTAAAACTCAGTTGTTTACCATCATATTTCCCTTGTTGAAGTTGCCGCCATGTGGGTGGGTATAACTCACTATCAGGCACATCTCCAAACTCATATTGTTGGTTCCATATCCCATTGGTATCACACTAATGGGATATTAAGTCCCTATGTTTCATGATTAAACCCCCATGTTTCAACTTGTGCTTACGTGGTGGTTTGGGTTGGTGGTTTGGAAGTCTGGGAATTGATGGTTTTGTAATCAAACCCTGCAAACAATGAAATCGTTGAAAATAAAGAAAACAAATTTAAAACAACAATGATTGCTACCAGATTAGGTTTGTTTTTGAATTGATGTTCATCTTGTATCTCGGAAAATGTACACTTATTTAATGTCCAATAATTTCACGTGATTGTTTAATTGATTATTGAATTCTAGTGCATTTTTTTGTACTTGTCTATTTATTTTTGAAATGGGGGAAAGACAGTTTCTTGAAACCGTGTGGTCCTATCCTGTACTCTGACTGATGCAGGTTTCATGGATTTTCCATGGAGCTTCCATGCAGGTTTCATGTTGGTTACATGCTGGGTTTGCAAATTTAGCTTACTGGTGGGTAACCTCCATGACAACTCCCTCGAACCTGCATGGAATCTGCATGGAACCTCCATGGAACCTGCATCAGGCAGAGTGCATGATAAAACCAACAAGTGTAGATAGAGGCATCACCTCCATAACGCACATGGAAACTGCATGAAATTCTACATCAATTCTCCATGGAACCTGCATGGAACCTCCATGAAAACTGCATCAGTTAGAAGGCGCCATGCAACCATCACGTTTAGACACAAGAAACAACGGAACCTACATGAAACCCCCATGAAACCTACATCAATTCTCCATGGAACCTGCGTGGATACTCCATCAAGGAAGACGCCATACAATCATCAGGTGTAGATACAGGGAACATGTTCGAGTTTTTTTTAATGGAAACTACGTGGAAACCATCAGACGCTTTGATGCAAATCGATCGCAAATCGATCGTAACTAAATTGATCGCACAAAAACTGTTATAGCATCTGTGCGTTTTGATGTCGTTTTCACTAGGCCATCTGTCTTTGCTGATGTTTCTTTTGGTTTCTGTCCTGGAAAAGTCAAATTCTTCCAGAATTTCTATTTATCCTGAGTGTTCATTGCTTGGCGGCTTTGATGTTGGCAAGGCCAGGGTTTCAAGTGTGGACTTTGTAGTGTGTCATTTTGATGTAGGATTTCGACGTTGTTTTGCGATCATTTTGCGATCCTTTGTCGATCGATTTGACATCGGCCTAAAAACGAATAAGAACGCCATAAAACAACATCAATATGACATCGACAAGAACCTAAGGCCTGTAGAAAACGGCACTTGCCAATTCATATATTCATATGGTTTGGTGATCATAGAATCCAAAATGACATAAGTGAGTTCATTTCTCTTGGTGGTCTCGTCTTTTAATTAACTTAGTTTGCAATATTATATGTTAGGAACCTCCATCAAGTTGACACCGAGACAGACATAAAACTCCATCAAAATGACATCAAACAAAAATTCACATTTGAAACCTTGCCAAAATCGAAACCACCAAGCAGTGAACACTCAGGATAAATAGAAACTCTGGAAGAAATTGACTTTTCTAGTGCAGAAACAAAAAGGGACATCAACAAAGACAGATGACCTAGTGAAAACGACATCAAAATGCACAGATGCTATGACAGTTTTTGTGCGTTTTTTAACGATCAGTTTACGATCGATTTACGATCGATTTGCGATCAATTTGCGTCAAAGCGTCTGATGGTTTCCACGTAGTGTCCACTAAAAAAAAAGTCTCTGTTCCCTGTATCTACACCTGGTGCTTGTATGGCGCTTCTTTGATGGAGTATCTATGCAGGTTCCATGGAGAATTGATGTAGGTTTCATGGAGGTTTCATGTAGGTTCCGTTGTTTCTTGTGTCTAAACGTGATGGTTGCATGTTGCCTTCTAACTGATGCAGTTTTCATGGAGGTTCCATGCAGGTTCCATGGAGAATTTATGTAGATTTCATGCACTTTCCATGTGCGTTATGGAGGTGATGCCTCTATCTACACTTGTTGGTTTTACCATGCACTCTGCCTGATGCAGGTTCCATGGAGGTTCCATGCAGATTCCATGCAGGTTCGAGGGAGTTGTCATGGAGGTTACACACCAGTAAGCTAAATCAGCAAACCCAGCATGTAACCAACATGAAACCTGCATGGAAGCTCCATGGAAACCCCATGGAAACTCCATGATACCTGCATCAGTCAGAGTACTGTACAGGATAGGACCGCAATGGAATTTGTTTCAAGAGAAACTGTTTTTTTTTCTCTTCTTTGCTTTCATGTAGACTATTTAGATAGAATAGATAGGTAAGGTCACTTGGATAGAGTAGGCATATTAGATAGATCAGATAGAAAAGGTAGACTAGGTGGATTAGATAGATGAGATAGATTAATAGACAGACTTGAAAGATTAGAGAGGTTGGATTAGATTAGCTTAGATTAGATTAGATAAGATCAGAGAAGATTAGACTAGTTTGATAGACAAATAGACAAACAAATAAATAGATAATGTAGATATATGAGATTGATAGATTGATAGATTGATAGATTGATAGATAGATAGATAGATATATAGAAAGACAAACAAATAGATATATTGGATATGATATATTAGATAAGTAAATAGATAGACAGACAGACAAACAAACAGATAGACAGATACTTAGAAAGATAAATTAGATTAGATAAGATTAAGATTAAGATTTAGATTTAGGATTTAGATTTAGGATTTAGATTTAGGATTTAGATTTAGGATTTAGAATTAGGATTTAGAATTAGGATTTAGATTTAGGATTTAGATTTAGGATTTAGAATTAGGATTTAGAATTAGGATTTAGAATTAGGATTTAGAATTAGGATTTAGACTTAGGATTTAGACTTAGGATTTAGAATTAGGATTTAGAATTAGGATTTAGAATTAGGATTTAGAATTAGGATTTAGAATTAGGATTTAGAATTAGGATTTAGAATTAGGATCTAGAATTAGGATTTAGAATTAGGATTTAGAATTAAGATTTAGAATTAGGATTTAGAATTAGGATTTAGAATTAGGATTTAGAATTAGGATTTAGAATTAGGATTTAGAATTAGGATTTGGAATTAGGATTTAGAATTAGGATTTAGCATTAGGATTTAGCATTAGGATTTAGCATTAGGATTTAGCATTAGGATTTAGCATTAGGATTTAGCATTAGGATTTAGCATTAGGATTTAGCATTAGGATTAAGCATTAGGATTTAGCATTAGGATTTAGCATTAGGATTTACAATAAGGATTTAGCATTAGGATTTAGCATTAGGATTTAGCATTAGGATTTAGCATTAGGATTTAGCATTAGGATTTAGAATTAGGATTTAGAACTAGGATTTAGAATTAGGATTTAGAATTAGGATTTAGAATTAGGATTTAGAATTAGGATTTAGAATTAGGATTTAGAATTAGGGATTTGGAATTAGGATTTAGAATTAGGATTTAGAATTAGGATTTAGAATTAGGATTTAGGATTTAGAATTAGGATTTAGAATTAGGATTTAGAATTAGGATTTAGGATTTAGAATTAGGGATTTAGAATTAGGATTTAGAATTAGGATTTAGATTTAGGATTTAGAATTAGGATTTAGAATTAGGATTTAGAATTGGGGATTTAGAATTGGGGATTAGAATTAGGGATTAGGATTAGGATTTAGAATTAGGGATTTAGAATTAGGGATTTAGAATTAGGGATTTGGAATTAGGATTTAGAATTAGGATTTAGAATTAGGATTTAGAATTAGGATTTAGAATTAGGATTTAGAATTAGGATTTAGAATTAGGATTTAGAATTAGGATTTAGAATTTGGATTTAGAATTAGGAATTAGGATTAGGGATTAGGATTAGGGATTAGGATTAGGGATTAGGATTAGGGATTAGGATTAGGGATTAGGATTAGGGATTAGGATTAGGGATTAGGATTAGGGATTAGGGATTAGGATTAGGGATTAGGGATTAGGATTAGGGATTAGGATTAGGGATTAGGGATTAGGATTAGGGATTAGGATTAGGGATTAGGATTAGGGATTAGGATTAGGATTAGGATTAGGGATTAGGATTAGGGATTAGGATTAGGGATTAGGATTAGGGATTAGGATTAGGGATTAGAATTAGGGATTAGGATTAGGGATTAGGATTAGGGATTAGGATTAGGGATTAGGATTAGGGATTAGGATTAGGGATTAGGATTAGGGATTAGGGATTAGGATTAGGGATTAGGGATTAGGATTAGATTAGATTAGGATTAGATTTAGATTAGTTAAACAAAAAATAAAACAAATACAAAACACACAAAAAAAACACATTTTTCAAATCTATTTTGCACATAACTCTGATTTCCCAGACTTCCAAACCACCAACCCAAACCGCCATATAAGTATAACCTGAATGTTTGATCGGTTCTTATTCAGAAAAAATAGCGAGTCACGTACTGCGTGCAGTTTTTCTTGCCGGCGGACTCCGCCCCCAATTTGATGCTGAAGCGCCCCCGCAGCTTCCGCCGTCCCCAGCGGCGCGGCGCTGAGCCAAGGCCCGCGGAGGACGGGGTGGCCACAGGCGTACAGTTGAAGGAAAACTCACCTGCACTGGCGAGATTTCTAGACAGGTCCTTCCATGGAGGCTACAGCGGCTACAGTACACCGAAAATCACCGAAAACACCAAAGGGTTGATCAGCATTCATCCCATGACCATTGCCATTTTGGGTGCACGCCATGTTCAGACAAACCTGCAGGATGTTAACAAGAATTACAATAATCAAGAAGTGTCAAGAAGAATGAGATAGAATAGGATATGATCCGACCAATTTGGGTATGAATAGGGTTAGAACTGTTCAAAATTGTGCAACTGAGAATTGATTGGGATTATAACCCGAGTTTTTGCGGAATTGGGGTTCATAAAATCATGGTGAATTGACTCCACGCAAAAACAGGCGCGAGGATGAACCAAAGCAACCCACACTTTAAAAAAATCAAAACCTAAGGACAATATTGAGAAGTAGCAAGATTGATGGATTGATTGAAGGGAAAATCTGCACGAAAATATGGTTCTGTACCCACAAATCAAGGGTGTCCTTGCAAATGTTCCCTTCGACCAATTCCATGAGAAAGAACTCAAAGTGGAAAGGAATGGAAAGGTAAATAACGCTGGGAACAGAAGCGGCAATTGTGAACTTTGTGACTTTTTGTCAAGCGAAATGCAGTCCAAGCAGCGGCTGTATGAACTACACGTCAGCAGTGTTCGAGTGAACTATCAAATTCCCCGGAAAAACAATTTGATCCCATTCGTCGCGGTCCATTGCTATTGGGGAGAGCGTGTTCCAGATCGCCGTAGTATCATACCAGTCTGCAAGGGAAGGTCCAAAATATATGTGAACCATGGACTGAGTGCCTGTGGCATACATTGGATGGGAAATTTCTTGGGTGGTGGGATGCTGATTTCTTCTAAGTTGTTCAGAACGATGAAAAGCTTCTGAGAGAGCAATTTCAGGCCAATGCGCCCGAGGTCTACCAAGACGAAATGGAGAAGAGAGGCGGCGGAGGGCGTGGGAGGTATGGAAGATTATCCTATGCTCTAAGGCTTCAAAATGCCGAAGAATATGACCGAGGTAACGCAATCGCTGGACAGAAATACGCTGACTGGGTATCAGGAGACGGGGGGCATGACGGTAGGCAAGGGACAGCAAGTATTCATTGGAACAGTCCTCCTGAGAGGGGTGAAGGACCCGATGGTAATAAGAGCTTTTAACTTGAAAGATTTGTCGCAGAACTTTATAGTGAAGAGAATTGAACCTTGTGATCTGCGCAGGGGTGAAAACTTGAGATTCACAGCCATAAAGTAAAATGGCAAGCACAATTTGCGCATACACCTGCAATTTACGGCGCGAAGGGAGGGACGGATTAGTGAAGACGGGAAAGAGGCAGCGAAACGCGCCCATCGCTTGAGAGTAGCGATAATTGCAGTCCGGTGCAGAAGATGCATTTGCAGCTACGTAGGCCCCAAGATATTTGGCTGAGTGCAGTGGTGGGATTTGAACACCGAGATCATCTGTTCCCATGCAATGTAGGCAGGAGCAAGGGGAAAGTGGGGTGACATGAGGTGAGAGATGAATGGAGAGATTGGAATGGAGGCGCAGAAGTTGGCATTTATCGGGGTTGAGAAGCAAGCCGCGCTTGCTAGCTTCATGCTGGAGACTGTGAAGGAGGCGGTGTAATGTAAGCTGGGTGCGGGAAACTAGAACTGTGTCGTCAGCATACTCAACATCAGTCATGGGAGAACGAGAGGGAAGGTCCACGGGGTGAAGTGGAACCGGGTTTCGAAGGAGAATTGGACATCATGCATTAAAACCGTCAGAACTATGATAAACAGATATGGGCTGAGAGGGCATCCCTGGCGGATCCCACGTGAAAGGGAGTACGTGGCGGAGACATAAGAAGAGGAGGAGACAAAAAAATTGCTGTCAACATAGAGTGCTGCTATAGCATGCACAAAAGGGAGAGGCACGCCAATACGGACAAGGGAAGCAGCCAAGTGCTCGTGGCTAACACTGTCAAAAGCCTGAGACCAGTCCAGGAAGAGAATATACAAGGATGTGGTATGACGCTCAAACAGTTCGACCATTCGACGGATCAGGAAGAGAGGTGCACTTGTGGATCGGCGAGCTCGAAAGCCATATTGGAAGTCGCTGATGCGGTGATCGAAGTGGAGAGCCAGCCTGCTTTGGAGCAAAGCAGCATAAACTTTGTAAATAGAGTTCGCCAAGCTTATTGGCCGATATGAAGAGGGCAAACGGCTGTTCTTGGGATTCCCTGATGTCATCTATCTTGTTGGAGCCACTGGTTGATGACTGACCATCGGAGAAATCTTGAGGGGTCAGCCATCTAGGCATCCGGATTCATACAGTAAAGTTGGTTGATTAACCCTTGTGCTGTCTCAAATCCATGTACTCCCCCCTCTCATCTAACCACGTTTGTTCATCGACCTTTCCAGTTTGATGCAAGTCACAGTCGTGGTAAAGAGTCTCAATGGCCACAGCCAGTTGGCTACCCTTCTCTGTTGCGAAGGCTG